AAAAAAAAAAAAAAAAAGAGTCTAGTAAAAGGACAGAATGAAAAGAGACACCTAAAAAAAGATAAAATGTAAAATGTACAGTTCACTAGGAAGATTAATAATATAGTGCATTCATATTTATAATTGTGTTAATATACAAAGCAAAAATTATAGAATTATAGGAGAAATTGACAACTCTACAATCATCATGGGATATTTTAACATTCTTCTTTCCATAATTGATAGATCAAGCAGACCAAAATTAAAAAATAAGGAAAGACATGGAAGGTCTGGACAATCTAAGAGGCTCTACCTGATAGTCAATACATACAGCTCAGCAACTGTCTAGTAATAGTATGCACAGAATACGCAGTTTTCTCAGATATAGATGGAACCTTTACTGAGTACGTAGTAGGCAGAAAACAGTCTGAACAAATTTTTTTTTTTCTTTTCCTTTTTTATTTAGCCAGAGTTCTTTTGGCTAAAAGGTGCTTTCTTTTTTGCTCTTTTTTCTTCCCCCACCTTTTTTTTTTTTTGAGACGGAATCTTGCTCTGTAGCCCAGGCTGGAGTGCAGCTGTGTCATCTCAGCTCACTGCAGCCTCCACTTGCTGGGTCCTGGTTCAAGCAAACCTCCTGCCTCAGCCTCCCGAGTAACTGGGATTACAGGCATGCACCACCATGCTCAGCTAATTTTTGTATTTTTAGTAGAGACGGGGTTTAACCATGTTGGCCACACTGGTCTTGAACTCATGACCTCGTGATTCACCTGCCTCAGCCTCCCAAAGTGCTGGGATTACAGACATGAGCCACCGCACCCCACAACAAATTTTAGTAAATCTGTATTACACAGATTATTCTCTCTAACCTCAATATAAGATTATAAACCAAATAGTAAAAAGATGACTACAAAAATTCTAAATATTAGGAAATGTAAAATACTAATAAATCAAAAGATGACATACAGAGAGGGACAGTAATAAAATGTTACTTATAAAAATACACAATGAAGCTAAAGCAGAATTAGGAGGAAAATTTGCAGGCTTTAAATGTTAATCATAGAAAAATTTAAAAGCTGAACATTAATGAGTTAAGCATCCAATTTAAATTTTAAAAAGAACACAGAAACCCAAATATAATTTTTTAAAAGGAAAAACAGATATCAAACAATTAAATTAGTGAAGTTAAAAAAAATAACGATGCAGTAAAGAGGGAAAAAAAGTAGCTTCTTTAAAAAAATTTAATAAAGTAGATATATCTCTGATGAGATTTGTCAAAGTAAGACAGAAGGCACAAATGGAATGAATACAGAAAATTTTTAAATATTACAGAACTTTATAATAAATGTATGCTCTAATAAAATTGAAAACACTGACAAAATTAATACTTCTTAGAAAAAGTATTTGAATAAAACTCATTCAAAAAACAAAGAAAGCATAGGCAGGCCTAACATTAAAGAAATGAAATCATTGGTTTAAATCCTACCTACTGCTAATAAAACATGCATCTTTATTAAGCAAAAATGGATCTCGTCAGTTTTATAGAAAATTTAGAAGTCAAGGCATAAGTAACAGCAATCTCATACCCAATCCTAAAAGAATAGAAAATTATGGCACCCACTTATAGACACAGACTCCTGCATAAAATAATATAAATAAATTAAATTTTATATATGCATCTATATATATGTGTATATGTTAACATATAGAAAATGCATCTACTTAATTTTGAAACCCTATTTATCAAAAAACAGGATGAAAATGCACAATGCCATCCATATGCTATAATAAGTTTCCATAAATCCATAAGAAAAAACCCAATAAAAACTCTTAAACCACAGTAAATCATGGGTAAATCACAGAAGCCTGAAGAGCCACTGGTCATACAAAAAGAATCTCAACCTCACTAGTAAAATCAGAAAAGCCCAAAGTAAGTACACAATTAGGTATGATTTTAAATCCATAAGACTGTGAAAATCATAAATTATATAGGTAAAGACTCGGAGTTTTAAAGCAGTGAGAGCTCTTCTATTGCTGGTGGGGTAGAAATGGAACAACTTCAATGTCTACAGTGTCTGGTAAAACTATGATATGCATCCCTCATACCAGCAAGTCACTCCAAGGTGTATTACATGTTTGTACAAACTTACGGAAAGATATAGGTCACCCTACCTAGAGAAGTCAGACTGGAGAGGTGGGGGACAAACCTTGAACTTTCTCTTTACATACTCTATATTGTTTGACTAATTAAAATGTATTTGTTGCATCTGCTTGAAGGCAATGTAAAATAAACATAAATTTAAAAATAAAAGTAAATTATTCGTATGACTTTTGTAATAAGAGAAATTTTAGGCCAGGCGCAGCGGCCCACACTTGCAATCCTAGTATTCTGGGAGGCCGAGTTGGGCAGATCACCTGCGGTCAGGAGTTCGAGACCAGCCTGGCCAACATGGTGAAACCCCATCTCTACTAAAAATACAAAAATTAGCCAGGCGTGGGGGCGCATACCTGTAATCCCAGCTCCCCAGGAGGCTGAGGCAGGAGAATCGCTGTAACTTGGGAAGGCGAGGCTGCAGTAAGCAGAGATTGTGCCACTACACAGTAGCCTGGGCAACAGAGTGACATTTCGTCTCAGAAAAAAATTAAAAAAAGAAAAATTTAATAAACAATGTTTAAGAGGGGAGAAATATGAAATTAAAAGATAAAGCCCATTTAAGAAACAGTTTCACTTGAACCATGTTGTGATTCCTTCTGTAAAAGATGAGACTAGGCAAATTAACTCAGTGAAATCCCAGCAAAACTTACATAAAGTCAGGATGAAATACAGAGTGCTTTTGGGTTTCATTGTTGTTTGCTGTTGTGTAGCTGAGGGCAACACAGGTCTATTATTCCTTATCTCAAACCCGTGGAACCAAATGGGCTTTGCAATTCAAATCAGTTTAGAAGTTATAAAGGCCAAGAAATGCAAATACTCTAAAGTTCAACCCCATGAGGGCCTAAGGTAGAGCCCTGTAATCAAATTCATCAATATTTCTGCAGCAAAACATTTATTCAAATTAAGTAGGATAAACAAAGACTTTTAAATAGTCTTGTATCAGTGCAGTTCAGGTTTGGCCACTGTGGAAGACAGACTGAAGGGTGGCCTTCCATGATTCACACCCTCATAAAATTTCTTCTCTCTAAGTGTGAGCAGGGCCTATGAATTGCTTCTGACCAATAGGATATGGCAAAGACGATGGAATATAATTTCTATGATCACATTTCATTATGTAAGACTCCATCTCGCTAGCAGATTTGCTCTAAAGAGTCTGTCTCCTGAGCGCTCTTTGAAGAAATAACTGGCCATGTTGGAAGCCCATGTGCAAAGAGCTGAGGGGTGGCCTGTAGAAGCTGAGGGCAACCTCCAGCCAAAATTCAGAAACAATCAGGGCCCAAAGTCCTGCAACCTTTAGGAGATAAATTCTGCCTGCTACCTGAGTGAGCTTGGAAGTGGATTCTTCCTTAGCCGAGCCTCCAGATAAGAGCACAGCCTTACCAACACCTTAACTGCAGCCCTGTGAGACCCTAAGCAGCGGGCCCAACTAAGCTGTGCCCAGATTCCTGAACCATTAAAGTTGAGATAATATATGGGTGTTGTATTAAGGTGCTAAATTACAGTAAATTGTACTAATAGATAACTAATATAACCACCAAATCATTTCAGGGTAGGCCAGATTTTTGTAGCCAAATGAATCATGATAAAACTTTCCATTTTCAGAGTTTTTTGATTTTATACTCATGGATACAGATTTCTGGAAGTATAGTCAGCACTGATTTAAAAAATTAAGGGAGCAGGAAATTTAGTGAATGGTTCTAATGTTTTGGAATCAGTAAATTGGTTATAACGTTTTTCAACTGTGTTATCTCATTCAAGTTCCTAAAATCATGTGAATGATAGGCTATCATACTCACCAGCTTTCTTGCATTGCTCTAAGAGTTGACTGACAACATTAATAGTAAACACTATGATCATGTCCAATACCATGATATGGTATTATGATCATGTGTCAGTCACTGTGCTAAGCACCTTGTACATGTTGATGCATTTAATTTTGCTGACAACCCAATGAAGTGGGAGCTGTTAATACTTTTATTTTTCAGATGGTGAAACTGAGTCACTTGGAGTAATATGGCTAATAAGTGAAAGAATAAGAATTTGAAAAGTTTGCGCAGATAACCAGAATGCAATGCTCACTCACATCTAAGCAGTGAATCAGACTAACCAGGGAGAGTATGAAAGCTCTACTGAAATTAACAACCTCTTTGGCTGTGAGCCTGCTGAGGGATAGGTGGTAAACCTGGTTACTACGTAAGGCCCCTTCCATTCACAGCATTTAGGAATTCTTTAGTGCATATACCTTGATGACTCCTTAACATTTTCTTCACATCAAAGTAAAGCTCAGAAACATTGCACATAGTATGAAGCTCCAAGGAGACGGGTTCTGATGTTTCCAGCTTCACAGCCCCACTCCTAGAATAAGCAGAGGCAGAGACTTCTTCAGCGCTGCATGTCATTCAGTTCTCTATACACACACCCCACCCCCCTGCATTCACAAAGGACGTACCTGCTCAAAGTGTCATTCACATTCTATAAAGAAACAAAAACAAAAGGTGAGCACGGGAACATCAGTATTTCATGGGGCTTGGCATGCAGGGCTATTCTTCTTTGCTTTTCCCAAAGAAGTAAAGAGAGTTACCCCAGTCTTAGACATTGATGGATACTCAGAATAATTTCCACCAATCTTAGATATTGATGGATACCCAGATGGAATAATTCCCACCAGCTTCTGGGAGATTCAACATGGCAAGATATTTCTCAACATTTGCATCTATTCTCTTCCTTGCCAGAGCCTAAGGGCCAGGAGCTTTGCCCCCGCTCCCTCTGTCAAGACTTGCTTTTGGTAATTGGATTTCCTTCAGAGTGAGCCCAGATTAGAAATCAATCATCATAAAGGTCCACATCACTCATCTTTTATTCTTTTCCTTGTAGAGAAATGAGGAAACCTGAGATACACCTCCCTCTGTGCTTGACTGACCTAGTGCTTCCCAGGGTGCTTCTGAGTATATTGGGTGACTGAGAAAAAAAGATTAAAATTGAGTGTTCACACCTCTCTTTTACCACCCTACAATTGGACCCCCAGTGTGGCAGTGTTGGAAGGTAAGGCCTGGTGGAAGTGTTTGGGTCATAGGGGTGGATCCTTCAGAGATAGCTTGGTGCTGTTCTCATGGTAGTGAGTTCTCACTCTCTGGAGAGATTAGTTATTGCAGTAATGGATTAGTTCTCTCAAGAGCAAGTGTTCCAATGCAAGTTTCCTCCTTCTGTTTGGCTCTCTGCACGTGTCCACTTCCCCTCTGACATTCTCTGCCACATTGTGCAGCACAAAAATCCATACCAGGAGCCAGGGCCATGCTCTTGAGCTTCCCAGTTGGCATAACTGTGTGCTAAATAAACCTCTTAAAAAAAAAAAAAAAAAGTCCTTAGTGGTGAATTCATGCACAGCCCTGAGACTGGGTCACTAAGATGACGGCAGCAGGTATCACACGGTGGTAAAGCAATCATGCTATACATTCAGCCTTACAGTACAGTCACCAATCCTGTTATTTAGAACCAGAATTAATGACTCCAGATGTTTATCTTCATATAGATACAGGTATAGACTGTACCATAACAGCTCCGGAGTAAGGGGTCTACAAGCAAATCAGGGAAAACGTTATCACTCATCTTGGCTGCCCCACTTCATCACCTATCCATCACCTAGAGGAGTAGTTCAGGAGAGAGTCTGACAGCCAGGGTTCTGAGCACACGGGCCAAGGAGGCAAAGAGTGGCAAATATTATCCCATGGTTCCATTTGGTCAAGCTATGTTCGCTCAGAAGTTTATTTTTCTAATTGATATAAGGGTACATTATAGAGTAGTGAAGGCCAGCCTGATGGCACTGATGTATTTCTAAAAGAAACAGTACTTTATCTTCCATGCTTCCTTACCATTCTCCTCTAATGGCACAATAACGTACCTTTTTTCCCTATTCCAAGTCCACAGCCTCACCTGCAGCAATTTTTGGGCTGAGCCCTGACATTTTTCCTCCAGTTCCAGGATGTGGCTGTTGAGTTCATCGCTCTTGAGCCCCAGACTGGTCTCATGGTCCCTCAGTCTACTCAGAGTCTGTTCTTCTTCCTTCTCCAGTCTCCAGAGATAACACTTCTCTTCCTCATGTAGGAAACGCTGCAGACTCTTAAAGTCAGACTGGATTTTTTGTCTCTGAATCTGTATCTTCTCCTGAAATCAAGAAAGTATGGTCAAAAGGTGGAAATAAACCAAATGTCCATCTACGGATGAATGGTTAAACAAGAATGAAAGTCTGATACATACTACTGCACGATAAGCCTTGAAGACATTCAAGCAAAAGCCAAAAATAAAAGGGCAAATATTCTAAGACTTTGCTTATATGAAGTTTCTAGAATAGTTAAGTTCAAAGAGACAGAAAGTAAAATAGTGGGTACAAAGTGTTGGCAAGACAGGAGAATGGAGAGTTACTATTTAATGGGTAGTGGGTTTCAGTTTGGAAGATGAAAGATGAAACCCAGTTGCAGTTTGGAGATGGTATAGTGACACAACAATGTAACAATGTGAAAGTTCTTAATTCTACTGAACCGCATGCTTACAAGTGGTTAAACGTTTAAGTGCTGTATATATTTTAACACACGCACACAGTGCAGTCAGTCACTTGGACATTATTTTCCCATGAGTCACTGAAGCTGGAAGAATGTCCCCAGGTTCCTGCTGCAGAGTCATGTGTGCGAGGCAGGCACTCACATGTGGGAGAGGCTATCCCAGATTCCTTACAGTCGCTCAATTAATTTCCTTGTTCCTCAGTCAAGACAGGAGAAAGCTGGGTTAGGAGTGCTAGACAATTTGATTGTGAAACTAGGGCCAACTTCAAACACTTTATCAATTACAAAGATAAAAAGAAGGTTTTACTTGGGATTTAAGAAGTTATTTCTGAGTCTGAGGGATTTTCTTGAAGTAAAAGCTTATAATGAACATCACCAAGACTTGATTTTAAGACAATCAGGCCAGTAAGAGGGTCCATAATTCTTGGCATGGGGAGCTCTGGGTGTGGCAGGCATTTATTACGGTTAACTGAAAAAAATTTACCTACTACCCTAGGGTCATCTTCAGCATTCCTATGTGTAAGACTGACAAATATCAAATGAAGGTCTCATCTGAGATGTAAAATTGCAATTTCCATTAGTGCTATCTAAATTAATGCAGTGGGAGTGTGTATTCAGGGTAACTTTAATCTATGAAAGCTTCAAACTTGGCCCAAATAAACTCTCTATTTATCTTAAAAAAAAAAAAATTCAAAAATTAAAATAAATTCATACAGTGTTTTGCTGACTATGATGTAGTAGAAGGGTCTCTGACTTGGGATGAAGTGGAATTTTTGTGTAGGGGACAGGTGCAGCTTTAACTCTTACATAGGTGGATTTTCATATATGTTAATAACAATCAAGGTCTCCTCTATTGTCCAAGATCCTAGAAATAAGAGAAGTAAGAGTGTACGCAGGAGCCCAAGATCAACATCCACAAACAAAGGATCAGAGTAGAGGTTAGAAAGGACCCTTGCAAGAGGGAAAATTTGTCATCAGTTTGTGAGATTTTACTGCAAGCTAGTGAATTACATAAAAGTTGGTGCAAAAGTAATTACAGTTTTTGCGTTTACTTTGAATGGCAAAAACTGCAATTACTCTTGCACAAACCTAAATATTTCCACAAAAGACTGTGGCTCTGATAATGTGGAGGCTGGTCAGCCACAGAAATAGTCTGAGAGACCCTATAGTCTGTAGTTGCAAGTGTGTTGGTTGTTGTAGTACTTACAGTGTACTTATAAATCAAGTATATTTCCTTCAGCCTCATCAGCTTGAGTAGTATGAATTTGAATCTGGAGTCATCCTGTTTTCTAAGTGTTCACAAAGGTTGGTTTCTGTACCTGTAAACTTGAGAGCCAGATGCTCCGCCATGGTAAAAGTGCCAGGGTAATGAGTTGAGGCCTGCAAACCAGGTTTATTTTGAGGTATTTAAAGTTTGAGACCTAGTCAAGGCTTGTTCTAGGTAAACAGGCAGACCAATTATGCTTCTTCTTACTGAGGTATCAGGAATTGCAGCCAACTGTGGTTGAAAGATGGAAGGGCTTGGTGCTCAATTCTTATGGATGTAAACAACTAGAGGCATAAATATCAATAATGGTTTCTTCCTTGGGATTCATTTTTTCATTCTGGTTTAGTGAGAATAAATCATCATTGTGCTTTACCTCCATCATCCCCTATGCCTAAGCTCTAGAATGGAAAATAGCTGGAGATCAATGAAGTCAGATTCTTACTTTCCATTTAGTTATTTGTATTGCTGTGAACAGCTTCTGCTCCATACATCTGTCTTCAAGTTGCCTCAAATTTGTCACAGCTTTCTGGAGCTTTTCCTGAAGGAAAAATTTGATAAGTGAAGTCTATTCAATTTGACTCTTCATTAGGGACCTAGGGGGAATCTCAACCTTCTAAGATATATTTGAATAATAGCCAATATTTTTTGAGTTCTCATCGTTTTTTGCTAGAGAGCATGCTAAAGGCTATATGTACAGGAACACACTGATCTACTTGGCAACCCTCAACAATGGGTAGGATTTTAAACATCATTTCTGTGCTGTAGAAAATGAGACTAAGAAAGGGGTAACATAACTTGCCCAAACAGCTATACTTGGCAGGTGGTGGAGCTACAATTGCAACCTCATCTGCTTATGTAAACTGAGCGCTTTTCAAAGACAGCTCCAAATTCCTACAGAGATGTCTTTAGGTGAGCTTTGATCTTTGCAGAGCACCTATCTTGTGTTTCTATAATTGCTCTGGTTGAACAAGGCTCCCTAGCTACCCAGAGCCTGAGCTATATCCACCACTGGAATCCTGCCAGGAAAAGGTTGTAAACAGAACAAGGTAATCATCATCTAAAAGATTTTGTAAAATAACATGGTGGACCATGCATAACCAATACCAATGGCACAGATAAAATTTTTTGTTTTATGAGTCAGGAGAAATCAGGATGCCAGCTGGTTATTAGAAACAGTTTATGGAAGATGGAAATTCTGGTATCTTTTGAAGAATGGTATCATGAAACCAATTTAAAATGATTCATGTCAAGCTTTTAGTTTATTCTTCAAAAAAGTTTCTCATATTGCTATCGAAAGTGATTTGAAGCTGACCCAAATTGCTAGTTGTAGTCAATGCTAAAAGAATTGTCTCCTGTCCACTGTAAACCCGGCAAATATACTCATTAATTCTCGAGCGTTCTCAGGAAAGGGCTCTATGTAACTTTTTTAGCAAAAGATGACATTGCCCTTTCAATATGCCAAGTGCTATTCTATGCATTCTATGTTTTAATGTCCTTAAAGCTTGTAACAACTTCCTGGGTGTGTGTGTTACAAAGGGGAGACACTGCTATTATCCCCATTTACAGATGGGGAAACCAAGGCATCAAGACATTAGATAATGTGCCCAAAATTGGCCATCTAGTAAAGTGACCAAACTCAATTTCAACATAAGCAGAATCCTTTTCTTACTACTTATTGGGAAAGTAATTCAAATGGGAATATCATCATTGCAATTAGTAGCTGCTCCATGGAGTTTAAGGAGGAGCTGCCATGAGCTGAGTGGTGGTTAGGATTGACATGACCTTAGGACTTAGAGCCTTCATACAAGACCACCTCTGCCTCATGGGTACAGAATAAGGGGCCTGACAACATTTTCCTCAAATTTAGACAAAACAGAGAAGGAAAAAGGACATCAGGACTATGTCCATTCCTCCATGCTGGCAACAGCAAAGTCCCACCTTCCTTAACATGCTTTCTGATAGGAAACCTGGATGGTACATAAAGCCCCTCTGCTTCACCTTCCACAACCAAGTATTTCCAAATATTTGAGTCTTCTTCCTGAATCTTGCTTAAAATCTGCCCTTTCCTCCCTTTCTTACAGGGATAGTTTAAATTTTACTCCTTGATATTCATTTTATTATCGGCATGCTGGAGTAGCTGGGCACAGTGGTTCACACCTCTAATCCCAGCACTTTGGGAGGCTGAGGTGGGAGGGAGACCAGGGGTTCGAGACCAGTGTAAGCAACAAAGCCAGACCATGTCTCTACAAAAAATTTTTTAAAAATCCGTATATGGTGGCGCATGCCCATCCTAGCTACTTGGGAGGCTGAGGTGGGAGGATTGCTTGAGCCCAGGAGGTCAAGGCTGCAGTGAACCGAGATCGCACCACTGCACTCCAGCCTGGGATACACAGCAAGACCCTGTCTCAAAAACAAACAAACAAACAAAAAACCAGTAGAGGTATCAGAGTGATACTTTTAATGTCACTGACCCTTCATCCCCCAAATGAAAATCCTCCATTAGGTGTTACTTCTGAAATAAACCACTCCCTACCCTAAAAGTCCCTCCCCACCACCAAAACCAGGGACCTCCAGGCAGACCTTTTTGATGGTTTGTCTTCTTTACTAGACTGTGGATACCTAAAAGGTGATGCATCTTTCTTCCCTGTTTTCAGGCCCTATCACACGGGTTTACATATTACGGTTTTTCAAATTAGATACATGGTGTGAAGCAAGAAAAAATGTGGTTGTTTGGTTTGAGAACAACGTGTTCTAAAGCAGGGAGAAATTCAGCATAACAGAAATGGATAGGGACAAGGGTCCCACCATCCCACTGAGGTCAGGATGGACAGTGCAGGTAACAAGGAATCATCATAAACTATTTTTCAAAAGAATGGCAGGATGAAAGCTGTATTTCCAAGTCATAATGTTAGGTTTCAGGCTAAATCATCTCAGCTCCTAGGGAGCAGGATAAGACTGGGGTACTTGCCAAGGCCCCGTGCACCACACACTCACCTTGTAGCCCTGGCATACCTCTTCAACAAGCGCTGTGGTGTGACCTTTGTGCTGTGGTGCCCGCTCACAGCGCCAGCAGATGAGCAGTCCTTCATCTTCGCAGAACAGGTGGAGCTGTTCTCCGTGTTCCTCACATGACATTTCATGATCCATCTCTTTGAGAGCTTCAATAAGGCTTCCCAGCTGCTTGTTGGGTCTGACACTATCCAAGTGAAATGGAGCGCGACACTGGGGACACCAGAGCATCTTCTGCCTCAGTTGCTTTTGGCTTGGGTTTTTAAAGAAGTCCATTATACACAATTGGCAGTAGCTGTGTCCACAGTTGATGCTTACTGGGTTCGTCATCAGGCTCAGGCAGATGGAGCAGGTGGCTTCCTCCATCATCCTCTTGGTGCTGGTGGTTGAGGCCATGGCTTTTCTTGAAAAGCTCCAATATTGGCTCTAGAGATGGAGATGAAGCAGCCAGAGTTTTCTAGTGATGAAAACACACCTCAGCTGCACCGCTCTGTGATGATGAGCTGGCTGCTACTGACTTCCACAGGTCGTGAAGCTGTCGACCTAAAAGGAAGATGCTGAGGTTGAGTTTGGGCCAAGTTTGAGAACTGCAACCCAGGTGCAGAGTTTCAAGTTGCCCTCATTAGCAAGCGGTTACAAGTAGTTGTTTAAAGGAAAAGAAGAAGCAGTTTTAGAGTTGTTTACCAAGAATTTACATTAAAATAATATAAGCTTTTGATTGGCTGTACATTGCTCTTTGTATTACAGATCTCAGGAATATGCAGGTAATGGGTGAGGCAGCCAGTCAGGAACAAAATGCTTTTAAACATGGTTCTTAACTGAAGATCCATCCTCCTGTCTCACTGCTCCTGATAAAGTTTGAAACTTCACATAGCTCAGACTGCCCTAAGCTATTTTTCTTTTCTCAGAGTCTTCTAATTTTTTTTCTTTTTCTTTATGAGACGAGTTCTCACTCTCTTGCCCAGGCTGTAGTGGAGTACAGTGGTATGACCACAGCTCACTGCAGCCTCGACCTCCTGGGTTCAAGCAATCCTCCTGCCTCATCCTGGCAGAGAATCTGGAACTACAGGTATGAGCCACCATGCCCAGCTAAAGTCTTCTCTCCAGAAAGAAGAAATGCATTGCAATTTAGAGGATGAATAAACGTTTAACGGTGTAGCTAATACAGGAGCCACTGAGTGGGAATTTAACTTTAACTTAATAAAAATTAAATAAAATGAACAAATTCAGTTTTTCTGTTCCATTTGCCACATTTTGATTGCTTAATAGTTGCATGCGGCTAGTGACTACATAAAAGCCCCAATATACAACATTCCGTTATCACAGAAAGTCACCTTGGACCAAGCACTGAAAGAAGCAATGCAGCTTTCCTCACAAAAGCTGCAGGAGAGAGAGCTCTGGGAGGGTGAAACTCTTTCCTATTCTTAGTAGCTTCAACAAAAATTGGTATCAGGTCCACACAGCTCACACCTGTAACCTCAGTACTTTGGGAGGTTGAGGCAGGTGGATCACCTGAAGTCAGGAGTTTGAGACAAGCCTGACCAACATGGCAAAACCTCATCTCTACTAAAAATACAAAAAGTTAGCTGGGCATGGCGATGCACATCTGTAGTCCCAGCTACTCGGGAGGCTGAGGAAGGAGACTTGCTTGAGCTCTGGAGGGGAGGTTGCAGAGAGCCCAGATCATGCCACTGCACTCCAGCCTGGCTGAAAGAGCGAGAATCTGTCTCAAAAAAAAAAAGAAGAAGAATTGGTAGCAGAATTACTCTTTGTAATTGGTAGAAACACTCAGGCAATTGGGTGATCTATGACAGATTCCACTGGAGGAGTATGGGAACTTCACCCCAATATATGGCTCCCAGGTATAATGAGTATTTTTAATTAAAGGCCCTTAGAGATCAGCAGATGCTGGAAGAGATTTTTTTCCCATCTTCATAAAGACCAGTCAGACTAGCCAAAAACAACTGTTTCTCCTTCCAACTCCTATTATCTCATTTTGTATTGAAGAAAAGAGGACTAAGAATGTAACCAGACCTAATCAGACACTTTCACAAAATAATGTCTGTCTCTCAGGCTCGTTCATTTTCCAGAGAGAACCATTTACAAGTTAAACTCTGTGCCCTCATTCGTTCATCCTTCCAAATATTCGTTTATTCTCCCTAGTCATCGTTTACTGCCCCTCAGCAGAATTACCTATATTCTCCTGATACCACCCTTCCCCTCTGAAATAAGGCTATATAAGTAAGTATGTGAGCCCCGCTGGAAGCGGAGTAATCACTCTGTGATTCTACCTCATGTACATGTTAATAAATTTGTGTGCCTTTTTTCCAATTAACCTGCCTTTTGTGAATCGACTTTTCATCGACCTTTCAAAAGGCAAAGAGGAAGTTTTCCCTTGGCTCTTATACCCATCATGACAATCAAATGTGACTCCACCTCAATCCCTCCCATCCCCCACAAATAACAACAACCGACACTGGTTAATAAGGTGGGTTTTTTTGTTTTTTGTTTTTGCGTTTAGGAACAGAGGTTTAATGGGCAAAAGAAAGAGAAAGGACAACAGTGAATAGCTCTCTCTCCTGCAAACAGAGGGGGGCACCTAACGTCTTCCCTGGCTAATAAGGTCTTGCTAGTTAGAGACCCCACGAGGATAAAGGAAGTCAAGGCAACCAGAAAAACCAGAAGAACTAGTTCATCCTTTTCATGCCGTTTCCCTAAACTGAGGGAATGAGAATTGCAAAGAAGGCTGCAAAGCAGAGGGTTAGGTCCTGAGGAACAGTTATTTCTTGGGAGCAGAGCTCCTGCAAAACTAGGAAATTTACTGTTTCTATCTCTTCTCCAGGACAGGACCTATCTCAAGGGATAAGTTCAGAGTGATTGCAACATAAAGAGTTTGCAGACCCAAGGAGGCAGGGAAGGCAGAAAGAAGATGGGGGAGGCCAGGTGTTTTGGTTGCTGGACCCCCTAGGCAATGGAGGAGTGACCAGGAGCAAAAAAGCCTGCCCCTTCTGGGAGCAGGCTCTCTCTGCACCCCCACCCCCACCCCACACACCCCTAGCCCTGGGAGCTCCTCTAGGACAGGGGCAGAGTTGGGAGGAAGTTTGAAGAGTGACTCTTCTTTGAAATGACAGTGCCTAGAATAAAAAACAGAAATTTAACTACAGGTACCGGGTAGGCTGTTTTCCTCTTGCAACCAGATCAGTCTCTTGGAGCCACACAGAATTTCTTCTGAAGGCGTGTATTTCTCTGCAGGCTACTTCCTCCAGTGACACACCAGGCCCCTCTCTGCCGGGGGCACTGTGCTCCTGGGGAGAAGAGGCTCCCCTCCTTCCAAGGCTCCAGGGTTCCTGTCCTGGGCCCTACGCACCTACCTTCTTCTTCTGAGATTTGATATAAAGTCTGGTGAAAGAAAGAGTGGGAAAGAGGTGAGAGCTATAAAACAAAGAAAGTCCAGATCATTTTCAGAGGTGGAGGGGCCCTGTGGTCAGGAAATATATCCTCCGCCCCACCTGCCGCCAGCACACACTCACATATCCACTGAGAAAACCTTAGTCTGGACCTTTTCCATAATCTACACTGCTCAGACACTTACATATTTGCGGCTAGTCCCCTCCGTAGCTGCCACTTCCTGAGGCCTGGGTCAGGAAGTTAACTCAGACTGGATTAAACTGAGAAGTGAAACTACCGTGGGAGGCGGGTCTCATAAGATTCAGGAGAAAACTAGTGACGTTGCTCATATATTTTGCACTCAGCCTCTCCTGTAAAGGAGGGGAAAATGTTGTAAAGAGTATCCTTCTTTTATAGCAATAAAAAGAAGGAACCAATTAATAACTCAGTAAACTAACATGTGACCCAACGAAGTATCTAAAAGCAGGAAGCCTGCAGAGAATCAGTTCACAGACTCCGATTTCAGATCTTTTTACTTTTACCACCAACTCCCTTGGGAGTCCTTAAGCCTTCCTAGCTGATGTTATTTTTTTTTTTTTCTATTTCTACGTTGCTTATGGTTTTATAACTGCTCGGAAGGGTGTGGTGGAAAAGGGGTGGTAACAGCAGTAAGGCTCATTTGCATCTGAGTCAGCCTTCTGTCTTCTCTGTCCCATTCTGTGTCTCCTTTTTCTCCTTACGGTCCTGCAGATCTCAGATCTTTTTCAATTGCCAGGGTCAGCCACCCAGGACAGAAAATGGGAGTCACTAATGCAACAGTGAGTACCCCTAGCTTAGAGCTGTGTGGGATCCCTGAGACCATTGCTCTGCTTTGTGCTCTGTGGAGGAAAGATTGGGTCAAGTCCTTAATGACTCAGCTCCAACTTCTACACTTCAGAATGAAAGTACTGTCACCACTCAAGTTAGAATGATTACTTCATGGGGAAAAAAGATGCATTATTACCTCACAATAAGAGCTTATCACATGTATAAGTCTTAGTTGTAAGAGGTATTTATGATAAGAGCATAATAAATGCTTGCTTAAGTAGATGGAGTGGTCCAAGGGAACCAGTAAGGGGAGCTCAGGACGCAGGTGGGTGAGAAATTAAACTTGAATTCTGGGAGCCACTGGGCTAACTCTGGGCCCCTGGCCTGTCTGATCAGGTGCTGACCCTAATAGCCAAGGGAATATGGAGTTTGGCCCAGCTGTAGTCCCTCTGGTCCAACTACTCAAAATAAAGTCAAGATTGTGAAACAGGTTCCTTTCTTCCTACACCAAGCAGAAGACTCTTCAGCACTGCACCTTCCTGGATGCTCACAGAGCCTTCTGCCATTCTGCCGCCTATGATTCATCATGCTCTGGCATGATAGTAGCAGACCCCATGCACAGCATGGGACATTCTACTCCTGCAGCCACCAGCACACACAGAGAGGAGAAAGAACGAGCCCCTGAATCCTTGGCCCCACAGTCCTTGCAGATATCTATGACTTTCATTGTTGTGGATGTGACTCTATCCAGACATGCTCATTCCAGATCTGTCCTGTTGTCAGAGGTGTCTGAACCAGAATGACTCCATTTTGAATGGAGGTTGAATAAATAAGGCTGAGACCTACTGGGCTGCATTCCCAGGAGGTTACACTTTGTAAGTCACAGGCTGAGAAGGGTCATTGGCTAAAGATACAGGTCATAAAGACCTTGCTGATAAAACAGGTTGCAGCAAAGAAGCCCGCCCAAACCCACCAAAACCAAGATGGCAACAAGAGTGACCTCTGGTCATCCTCCCTGTTCCTTATACACTAATGTGTTAGCATGATAGAAGGAACTCCCACCAGCTCTATGACAATTTACAAATACTATGGCAATGTCAGGCCGTTACCCTATATGATCTAAAAAAAGGAGGAACCTTCGGTTCTGGAAATTGCTCACATCTTTCCTGGAAAAGACACGAATAATCCACCCCTTGTTTAGTACATAATCAATAAACAACTATAAGTATCTGTATTACCCATTTTCACACTGCTAATCAAGATATACCTGAGACTGAGTAATGTATACAGGAAAAAGTGTTTCATGGTCTTACAGTTCCACGCGGCTGGGGAGATCTCACAATCATGGAGGAAGCCAAGGAGGAGCATGTCATGTCTTACATGGATGGCAGCAGGCACAAAAGAGCTTGTGCAGGGAAACTCTTTCCTATAAAACCATCAGGTCTCATGAGACTTATTGACTATCATGAAAACAGCATGGGAATGATTTGCCCCCATGATTCAATTACCTCCCACTGGGTCCTTCCCACAACACATGGGAATTCAAGATGAGATTTGGGTGGGGACACAGCCAAACCATATCAGTATCCATAGCTCAGCAGCTCAAGCTGCTTCTCTGCCTATGGAGTAGTCATTCTTTTATTCCTTTACTTTCCTAATAAACTTGCTTTCACTTTACTGTATAGACTCACCCCAAATTCTTTCTTACATGAGATCTAAGAACCCTCTCTTGGGGTCTGGGTTGGGACCTCCTATCTGATAACACTATCAAAGGATCAGGAAAAGGAAGCTAGTGAGTGCTAAAATGGAAACAAACTACCATTACCAATAATAACAGCAAGACCAAAGTAAAACAGATTGTGACAGCTGTCCCACCTCACACCTATTTCCCATTGCAGGAACGAGGGACTTGTTCATGCAGAGAGTGGCAAATATTAGAAGCAGAGAGCACAGGTGCAGATGAGCTTTCAGGAATACGTTGCCAAAGGCAGGCCTAGGGAGAAATCAACATAAACTACCCCCCATGGGGGAATGCATTATCTCCAATATGTAAAGCTAGGCTTGATCCTGTGATTATGGGATGGATACAGGAATCCAAAGACTCACAATGGGAAGTAGGTCACTAGAGTCTCCTTAAGAAGCTCTGGACAGTGTGTTCCCACTGTGGGGAAGAATCAGCACCCAGACATCCCTAGAGTGTCTTTCCTCAACTCTTTCAGATTTCACCTCTCAACCAACCCTATTCTGGCCACTTGTTAGCAAGTGTACCCCTTGCTCCCTCCCAAACATTCTCAAATCTATTTTGTTCCCACAGCACTTATCACTGAATATTTTACTTATTTATTTTGTTTATAATTTGCTTCCCCTGTGAGAATACAAGTAATGTAAAGGGATGGATTTTTTTTTCAATATTGTTCACTGACGAATCCCAGAGTCTAGAATAGTTCTAAACATAGTGATGTGCATTAAATGAAAGAGTAACTTTCTGAATTGCACTAAACACACATCATAGGAGGTGTGTGCACACATGTGCATGATGCATGTAGCATGGCATGGGTTATGTGTGGGGCATATGGTACTGGGTGTGCTGTGTGGTATGCAATACATAGTTTGTGTTGTTCTGGTGCATGTTACGTGGTGTGTGAGTGTCCATGTGTGTTAGGGGTGGCAGGCATGTTAACATGTCAAATAGTACTAGAAAGTATCGGAACCCATGGTGCTTACTAGTTTCCCAGAGAACTGCTTCTCTCCCTCCTGTAGGATATACTAATGGTTTGGATGGAAAGGGAATAAAAATAAGGCTGAGATCTCCTTATTTTTGAGGAAATAAAAATGGAAGTAAAAGAAGAGCTGGGAAAAGAGAGCAGAGAGGCCAAGGGAAACTTCCCTTTTGGCTTCTGAAACTTTGCTGAAAAATTAAGTCACAATTTATTAACATGTACATAGGGAGAATGATAGCATGATTATCCACCTCCCAACAGGGTTTAGAAGCTTATATATCATCCTGGCAAAATGGATTATGGGAGGGGAAGAAGAGAAATTCTGTTAATGGGTTTACTGTTGTGGATTTTTGCTTCTTAGTTCAGCTAGATCTGGGTTCTTGTCTCATGACCAGGAAGAACTAGGCACGTGGACATCAAAGAGTGAGTGGAGTAGAATTTATTAAGTGAAAGGAAAGCTCTAAGCAAAGAGAGGGGTCCTGAAAACAGGTTTCTGGTTTGCCCTTCACAGTTGAATACCATGGCTTAAGAGCCAAATTCCTGGCAGCTCCGCCCTGTCCTTCTAGTGCATGCAGGCCCTTAGACTGACCTGCTCCATATTGATTTATTTCCCGAACTGCACATGTGTTAAGGAAAGGAATCTTCCACTGTGGGCATGTTTAGGCAAGCCCCTCATGCAAGTTCCCTTATCTGCACAAAACATCTGGTGTAAACATTTTGGGGCAGGTCAAAGGTTCTCCAGGGACCATTCCCTTACTGTCTGCCTAAAGCAAGCTGGCCAACTCCTTTCATTACTAGGGAGAGTAAGTAGATCAGCAAACAGAGATTAATTTGAACATTATCTTGTGAAAGTCTGTTCAGGTGTGGTTACATTCTTGGTCTTATGGGGATGATAAATAAAAATAATTGTCCTTTTTGGTGGGTCTAGATCTTAGGCAGATAAAAGAACTTTAATTCCATGATGTGTTTTGGGAGAAACGGTTAGTGGCAAGGATATCAGAGAGGCTTTGAAGTTTCCTCAGTTTTAATATGACCAAGTGCCATATTTTAGGGTATCAATTTCTGAGCCCCAACAAGAGCTTAGAATAAATTTTATAGTGTCACAGTGTGAAAGCAAATTTTTATTTGTTTTTAGAGACAGGTTCTTGCACTGTCATCCTGGCTGGAGTACAATGGTAGGATCACAGCTCACAGTAACCTTGAACTGGCCTCAAATCATCCTCCCATCTAAGCATTTCAAAGTGTTGGGATTACAGGCATGAGACACTGCACCACCCTGAAATTGCACCCACTTGCCGATAAACTTTTCAAACGACTAAAGGGGAGAGAATAACCATTACTTAGAGGTAGGAAGAAAGGACACAGGATTACAGGATTAAAACAACAACCACCAGCACCAAACAAAAAACAAAACCATGCTGTGTTGTGGCTCACACCTGTAATCACAGCACTTGGGGAGGCTGAGGCGAAGGGAATTACCAGAGGCCAGGAGTTAGAGACCAGCCTGGCCAACACAGCAAGACCCCGTTTGTATTAAAAAAAAAACAAAAAAAAAAACAAAAAAAAACTTTTTTTAGAGATAAAAAAATAAAAACAAAACACCTGGGAGGAGACTGCCTTGAGCTAATCAGAATGACGGGCATGACAAAGGACATCCCAAAGTAAGTCTT